CGAGCAACTGGAGAAAAAGTCTCATCATAATCAATTCCTTCCTCCTGATTATAGCCTTGAACTACTAACCTTGCCTTGTTCCTTGTAGTGTTTCCATGTTCATCAAGCTTATTCCTGAATACCACCTGGTTCCTATGATAGTTTGATCTGAAGGTACCAGGTGCCATACTTTGTTCCTTTCAAACTGATGTAACTCATCTTGCAAGGCTGTGATCTATCTGCTTTTTTTAAGGCTTCCTTGATGTTTTTGGGTTCTATTTCGGAAAGAAAGGCTGAGAAGGCAAGTGAATTTCTGGCTTTTGATCTGGTTTGTACTCCTGAATCTAGAGGGGTAAGTATATTGTCAAGAGGATGAGAGCTTTTTTGTTTCCAGTTGGAAACTTGAGCCTCATTTGTTGAGGAGCTGGGTAAGTCTGACTGGTTCCCTTGAATTCTTCTCTTAGCAACCTGTGGAGTACTTTGAACTGCATCAACCACTCTTTCTTCAGCTTCAGTAGTTGTAATTGTGGTACCTAGTTCCTCTGCAGCTGATGAGGAAGGAACTGCATTGTCTTCACCTGACTCCTTCACTTGACTCATCATGTCTGCCTTTCCATTTGCCATATCAATGACTTCACTTGGAACTAGCAGGGGCTCTCCATCCTGATCACCCTTGTTGCTTTTCTCATAGGAAAGGTAGGACTCGTCAAAGATTACATGTACACTCTCCTCTATGCACTGAGTTCGCTTATTGTAGACCTTGTAGGCTTTACATTGAGAAGAATATCCCAAGAGGATTCCTTTATCACTCTTAGCATCGAATTTTCTAAGCTGATCCTTTCCATTGTTGAGAACATAGCATTTGCACCCAAATGTTCTTAAGTGAGTCAGCTTGGGCTTCCTTCCATTCAGCAACTCATAGGGAGTTTTATTCAAGAGAGACCTGATCATGCACCTATTCACCAAGTAGCAGGCAGTATTGACAGCTTCAGCCTAGAAGTTCTTCGCAATCCCACTATCGATAAACATTGTCCTTGCCATTTCTTCAAGGTTTCTGTTTTTCATTCCACAACTCCATTTTGCTGTGGAGTTCTGGGGGCTAAGAAGTTATGGGTAATCACATTTTCGTTGCAAAAATCATCTAACTTGGCATTGTCAAATTCTGTTCCATGATCTGATCTTATGCAGGCTACTTTTGAATTCATCTTCACTTGAGTTTTCTTCACAAAGGCTACAAACACTTCAAATGTCTCATCTTTTGATCTAAGAAAAAGCGTCCAAGTGAATCTGGAATAATTGTCCACTATCACAAAAATGTATCTTTTTCCTCCTCTACTTTGCACTCTCATAGGGCCACAGAGATCCCTATGAAGGAGATCAAGTGGTTTTGAGGTGCTGACATCTTTCTTAGGATTAAATGAGGATTTCACATGCTTCCCTCTGGCACAGGCATCACAAACTTTGTGCTCCACGAACTTTGACTTGGGCAGACCATGCACCAGGTCCTTCTGAACTAGTTTGTTCAGTAGGGAAAAGCTTGCATGCCCCAGTCTTCTGTGCCACAGCTCAGCGTCATTATCAACTGCTTTCAGGCAACTCAGATCACCACTTTGTAGAGACTCAAAGTCAGCAACGTAGATGTTCTTGTACCTTTTGGCCACCAGTACAACTTCACCTGTTACTAGATTAGTAACTGTGCATCTCTTTGACAAGAACTCCACCTTGTTTCCTTCATCACATATTTGAGAAACACTCAAGGGACTGTACTTGAGCCCATTGACGTAGTACACATTCTCAATTGAGTGAGTGAGTGATTTTCCAATCTTTCTAACTCCAAGAATGTATCCCTTTTTCACACAGCCAAAGAATACACTCCCTCATTGCAGGGCTTTTAGTGAAAGAAAGTCCATGGAATTCCCAGTAATGAGCTTTGAGCATCCACTATCCATGAACCATTGTTGACTGCTTCCTTTCACTGTTCCCTGCACAAGGGAATCATGGGTTAGATTTAGGAAACCAAGCAAGTTTGGGTCCCTTGTAATAAGCAAGAGGGTGAATAAGTGCTCTTTAAGTCCATGTAGGTAACATGCGTTTTTTATGAGTGGCACTTGGTCCATTTTCAGCAGTTACTCTTTCAGAAAAAACTTTGTTTTTCTGAAGAGACTGAACTCTAGCTTGGCAATCTTCTTTGAAATGCCCATTGTTCTCATAGTGGGTACACAGCCAATTATCGGGTACAGTAACATACTTGCTATGAGGGTTGTAAGGAGTTATCTCCCTTTGAAACCCTATTCCCTGCCTGCTTCCACCATTTTGAACATACATGGCAGTAATAGCATTTGAGGACCAGGTCCACTTAAGAGACTTTTCAAAATCATTTTTTACTCTATCCAATTCTGCTTGGAGTTGTCTAGTTTTCTCAAGTTCAGCATATAAACTGATTTATACAGCATTTAGTTCGTTTTCTAGCCTGATATGTGCTTCACTAGCAACTCCTTTTCCTTTATTAGTCCTCCCAGACCCACACTCTTCTTTGAGTTCCTCTATTTTTTCCCTCAAATCAATAATCACAACTAGGAGGTCATCTCTTTCTTGCTCTAAGGCATCAATTTTTTCCACTAAGTCATTCTTTTCAATACTTAGATTTTCAATGGTTTGTTTTAGGTCAACAACTACTACCATCAAGTCGTCTCTTTCATGTTCTACACTAACAATTTTTTTAGTTAAAGCCACATTTTCATTCTCTAGATCACTTATTATTTCCTTCAGATCAACCACACACACTACCAAGTCATCTCTAGTTTGTTCAGCATCTCCTAACTCTATGGTCAAGGCATCCATATCATCTACAAGACTTTGATAGGCATCAATTAACACATTTGCTAATGACATGAGTTTCTTAGGAGAGTAGGATTTCAGATTTCTCTGAACATCCCTGAAGTTTACCTCATCATTGTCATCTTCTTCATCATTGTCAGATTGAGCCATCAAATCAAATATTAAATCATATTCATTTGCATCACTTTCAACTGCCATCATAGAGCTATCACCTGTATCAATTTCTTCTTCAGACTCACTGGAGTAATCTCCCCATGCTGCAAGAGCTTGCTTCACAACATTGTCAGCGGCATTCTTTCTTTTGAAGCGTTTGTCAGGAACCAGGTTCCTCTTTGTTGCTTTATTAGGGTTGTACTTGAAATGTTCTTGCTTCAGGAGAGAGCAATCCTTGATAAAATGCCCTGGCTTTCCACATTTATGACAAAGGTCATAATTCTTTGGTCTGCTGGAACTGCCTCTCTTTGGCATCCCTCCGTTTCTTCTGACCATCTTTAGAAACCTTTTGGTTAAGTAAGCCATGTCACTGTCCTCCTCACTTGAGTCATTGCTTTCAGCTTTGAGTAGCAGGTTCTTTTCCTTCTTTGGTTCTCTTCTTTCACTGTCCTTCTTCTTCTTCTTCATTTTGTAGGTTTTCGGATTTTTGACTAGCTCATCTATGGTCAGCTCTTGCAAATCCTTTGCTTCAGTAATGACATTCACTTTACTCTCCCATGAACTGGGCAGGACATTGAGAATTTTCCTCACGAGCTTGTTCCTAGGAATGATTTCACCAAGCGAGTGTAGCTCATTTATGATGGAAGTGAATCTTGTGTGCATGTCTTGAATGGATTCATCGTCCTTCATTCTGAAGAGTTCATACTCGGTGGTGAGCATGTCAATATTAGATTGCTTTACTTGAGTGGTTCCCTCGTGAGCTATTTGCAAAGCTTCCCATATCTCCTTCGCAGATTGACAGGCTGAGATCCTGTTGTATTCATCAGGTCCTATGCCACACACCAAAATTTTCTTGGCACGAAAATTTTTCTAAGCAGCTTTCCTATCTGCGTCGTTGTATTCTTACCTAGTTTTTGGCATCGTCACAGGAGGATCTCTAACCTTCTTTGTTGGGACATAAGGACCATCACAAATAACATCCCACAACTCAGAATCTTCTGCCATGATAAAGTCATGCATTCTTGTCTTCCACCACCCATAGTACTGCCCATTGAACCTGGGTGGTCTATACGTAGACTGACCTTCTTCAAAATTTAGCAACCATGAGGATCCTTTTTGGGTGTTAACCTGATAGAAAGAACCCGCTCTGATACCAATTGATAGAATATATGAGTCCACCAAATTATATAGAGACCATGTCCTCTATTGGTTCCCACTGATAGTGCTAATAAAACAATAAGTAAATGGAACAGAGAGTTTTTACGTGGAAAAATCCTTGCTCAAGGGGATAAAAAACCAAGACCTACACTGGTAGGATTTCAACTTCACTATGAGCAACTTTAGACTACAACCTACGCAGTCTAGAAATCAAACTCTTAATCCCTCACTAACTTGTAATACACCTATTACAAGTCACTTTGCAATACACCTATTACAAAGACTTCAACTCATGACTAACTCTTGTCACGACACAAACACTAAAGGTTTATGGTTTACAAGGGGTTCCTAAGTAACGATTTTAGATAAGCAAAGTAGGAATTACAATGAAGAACAATTACAAAGTTACAACTCAACTAAGGACATACAAGATACTTGCTGTACGAACTGGTGCGTAGTAGTGTTGTTCTTTGTTCTTGATGCACTTGAGAATTGAATGCTTGGCAGGCAAAATGGTTGGAGTGCTTAAATGAATTCTCAAGTCTTCAAGTCATGTTTTGTTGTAATGCTCTTTGTTAATACAACTGAGATGACATCACTTGAATGATGTAACCACTTGGTTGGTCAAAGGGGAGTGACTGCTGTAGTGTGCAGCACTGTCTGCATGTATAGTGCAGGCAGTCACTTTCCTGCTGTAGATAGTTGGCTTTCGTACTGTTGTCGGGGAAACACAAGGGGATCAGGTCCCTGTGTTGATCCTTTATCTTCTGAAAACATAGCAGCTCACATTAGCTGGAGTCCCTTGATTTGTGTTGTGTACCAAGTGTGTCAGGTTCCTTATCTGGTTCTTTGACAGTAAGTTTTTTAGATCATCAAAACATCACGAATTGGTGTACTTTATCTTCTTCCTCTTCCTTTTTAGTACCAGACTTGGCAGGACAGACACAAGAATTTGAATGTTTCTTACGCATCATCTCTAACTCATCCCATAGTTTCTTAAGTTTGTTAAAGTATGAGGCTATATCTGAGGAACCCTGAGAAGTAAATGCAAGTTCCTTGTTAAGTTCAAAGACTTTGGTTCCATTGACCGCACCATATCTACTCTCTAACCGTCTCAAAATACTTTCAGCAGTTTCAGAATATTGTACAGATTCAGCAATAATTGGGGTTAAGGAATTGGTTATCCGAGATATTACCATATTATTACATCTGTTCCATTGTTGAAGTGTTGGAGAATTATCAGGCAGTTTAGGACAAGTTCTATCAATGAATGCAATCTTATTTTTTGCAGACAAGGAAACCACCGTACTCCTTTTCCAACCTCCATAACCAGTACCGGAGAAAGGAACTGTCACCAAGCACGACCCAAGAACATCAGAGGAGTGAAGATGGAGAGGACTAGAAGGGTTAGAGGAGTATGTAGAACTGGAAGGAGTAGAACTATCGATTCCCGTTATATTCAATACTCAATACAAAACAACAAGTCCCTTAGAAAAACACATGCGAGAAAGAACAAGAGACTAATATGAGAAATAACTTGCAGTCTAGGAAAGGATTACTTATGAGCAATAGATCGAAATTTCCCTCTTCTTCAGCACTAGAAGAAGTTATAGCCTTCACATATCAAAGACCATCAATTTTGAAGACGAATCCAAACCAGGTATGAACCGTAACAAACCCTAGTTCGAGAATTCTTAAAATTCACCACCAAATCTTGGAATCAAAAAGACTTCAGCAACGATTGGGCATCCTCCACTCGATTACAGACGGATTCCAGAGAAGGATCACAAGAAAATTAAAAAAAATGAATTTCTGACGAGAAAATCGTCTCACTGACGAGACCACGAAACTCAACCAAATATGGTGAAGGGTAACACCGGACCAACGAGAATGACAAGATCTTTCACATGCGTAGCTCTGATACCATGAAAACATACAGCAATATCGAAATCATGGAGATGAGATTAGGGTTTGAGAAGAAGAAGATACAAAGATAATTGAGAGAACCGACTTTCATTTCTTCTCTATAAAATGAATCGAATAGTCTAGAAATTCTATTACAATATCTATATGTATATACAATGGACCTAACCCGGATCCCTTAGCCAACTAATATGTACATTAAATAAAGGAAGTCCAAGTTATGTTTTATATTTGGACCCAGACGCTAAGTAGTCCTTCATCTCAACATGCAGGAAAAGAAAGATCTTTAAAAGAAAGGAAAGGAATCTTCAAGGGGAGAAATATGAAGGAGAAATCTTATCTTAATATGCAAATGATCTCTCTGGGTGGGTGGAGATCAGCTCTAGCATTTATTTAAGAAATTAATAAAGAACAAATGTTTGACTACTATCTAAATGATAATCATGGGTTAGTAAATAATATAGTTAAACTAAGTTATTGCCCCACAATGATTCCATCTCTGACCTTGTTCTCTTTGTGGAAGCAACCCTTTTCAGACCTTCTTTTTTGACTATATTAATCTTCTAATGTTTTTATGCAGTACGATCAATCTCTTTTTCTATGTTAATAATAAACTCGCAATGAGTTTCAAGAAAGAAGCAAGAATAACTCTCTCTCTCTCTCTGAGGGTGGTAAAAGGCTCAAATTGAAGGCATAAAATTTCGTTGTTGTTTTCTCCTAATAAAAGGCCTAACGTTCACATGGAAATACTAGTACTACTTGTGAATAATATAGTAAAAGAAGGCATTTGTTCTGTGGTATGGCAAAAATTAAGTTGATTATATACATCTTTTGCTTTTGTATCTCACGAATGTGCAAAGTGGAAACAAAATGGGAGAGTTGCAGCTAGGTTAATTAGAAAGGAGAGTGCAATTTTTTTGTATATGATAAATATAGAGAACCACTCAGTGACCTTTGGTATCGTTTGAGTAAACAATTAAGCATTTGAACCCAACAGCCAGGGTACAACTCTTCTGGACTGTACTCCCCTACCTTGCCCTACGGAATATTCTGAGATAGATATAATTATTAAATACTCCATCCGTTTCAATTTAGAGTTGGACTCAACACGGAGTAAAAAAAACAAAAGAAGACTTTTGAAACTTGTAATCTTAAAAGCTTAAATGTTAAAAGCTTTGTGGGGCCATGAGATTTGTATGGTTATAAACGCTTTTCATTAAGGATAAAATAAAGAGTTTAAAGTTGAATTAGAACTCAAAGCTTAGGCGATTGCATTGGTCAATTTGAGAAACACAACTTTTTCAATGTACTGTCATTTTATTAGACGATAATGTTCCTGTCACTTTTAAATTTTGGATACACCTGTGCATATAATATAACTAATCACTATGAACACTATTTCTTTTGTGATAATAGTAACAAATGTCTAACATACTTTATTCTTCAAATTTCGTTATTGCCAAAATAAAATAACAATATATTAGGTGCTTGCTTTCTCGCCCACGCCCACATCTTCTGACGCTCTTAAGGCCGCAAAAAAAAATAAAAAAAAAATAAAAAACACACCAAATTCAGCAGCCTTTTTCTTGTGGCCTGTTTGCTCTTTTCATCACATTCCAGATAGGTAAAGGTCATAACTTTACCTATTTTCCCTTAGCTTAATTTTAGAGAATAAGGTTAAACCCACTTTCTGCATCAATTTTCACAAGCATGGTTAATAATTCGAGTCATAGATCTATTTATAGTCCATTATGTACATTACATATCGCTTATATTTAGACAATAAAGAAGCATTTCATGGGGACGAGAAGAACAGTTGTGCTGGAACATGTATTTCAGAGAACATTTTCTTAAAAATATATATTAAATTACACTAAACATCCATGTAATAAGATTAAGTTGAAGATACACCCGTTATATTTAAAATTTGTATTCTTAAACCCCTGTACTATGTTAATCCTAAAAGAATATAAGTGAGGCATAATGAGTGATGAATCTATTAATAGAAAAGAAGGGGTTACAAGTCATCCTGGGGATGATGGAAATTAAAACAAATGGAGTGGGCAATAATTTTGGTCAATGAAAAGCATAGGTTGAAAGCTCAATAATCTTGGCACAGAAGTTAGTGGAATTAATCGTACGACAACGCTAGCTATATATAGTATAAATAATAGTATTATAAGTTGCCAAAGAAGACAAAAGAGGATTTATCTCCTAGCAGCCACGGAAAGTAACATTCTTACATTTAAGCCGCACAATGAGCTAATAGAAGAAATTGTAGATATCCGTTTTCCTTTTGTTTTTTCCCTCAAAATAATCAAAAGCAAAAATCAGTCGAAAAGGCTCTCAGACAGTACACATACCAGAGGGGCAGGACTTAGTAATCTAAGAGTAGTGTGAGAGTGCATAATGATTTGAAAGAGTTTAGTAAACAGTACAAAGAAGGTCTTAGGTCTTAGGAATGAAAGAGTTTTCTGAAAACCTGTACTGGTTTGAATAAAACAGTAGTTGGAAAAACATAAAAAAGGAATATTTTGAAATCAGCATACTAGTCTCAGAACAGCCTCAGAAGACATTTTTGCAAGCAGACTTCACACAAGGAGAGAGGGGTAGGGACACATAGAATGCACCTTATTGAAAGTAGACAAAAACACAGACTCTTCAAGAAGTCTTGGAATTGACAAGTTAGTTACAAAGACATGCTGAGAACACATAGATCTTTAACCATGACCAATACACATGAGTGAGACAGTAATCAAACAATGCAGCTTGAACATACTAGTGAACAAACAGGGTTCATGCAATTATCTAAAGCAGGATTGGGGCATGCTAAGCAATATACTAATTACAGCTTTTAACAAAACAAACTTAAGCATGCTGAGTGATACAGTAATCAGGCAGTGTAATCTAAGCATGATGTTATACATTGAGCAACATGATAGTAAAATAATACACAGGACTGAAAGCCACAACTAATGAACTGAAACAACAAAGAAACACATAGTTTTGGGATTTGAATTGAATTAGGACATACTAGTTAAGGAGAGAATACAAGGTATATAGCAGAGATGGTGCAAATAGCCAGCCTTGGCTTATAGCCGGCTGGGTTAGTGAGAATTGCAAGTAACAGAAGAGAATAGAGAGTTTTTGAGAGTGTGGAGGAACTAGTGTTCGTGTTCAAAAGTGAGAATAGGTAAAGGTATATATAGTAGTCAAGAGTTAAGCAAAATAAGGTAAACAATCAATCATGTAGCAATTAAGGAAATTTACAGAATCAATCACAAACATAAATCAGTATGTCTTCCCCTTAATCAAGGGATAATCAATCAACGGTAAAAGAAAGACATGTATTTAAGGAAGGGAATCAAGTAAGACTTGGGTATAGAGTAGGTAATTAGGGGTGAATGAACAGGAGTTCAGTTAAGGAAACAATTGGCAAGAATCAGAAAATAATAAATAAGGCAAGAGAAAGCTAATTAAGGCAAGAAGTTCAATCAAACCGAGTAGGGCAGTAAGAATCAAAGACTTTGTTAAGGAAAAGAGTTCAAATAAAACCAAAAATAAGAACTTCAGAATAATCAAGAGTTTAAGAGAAAATCACGTAAAGGGCTATCAAATATCACAGACAATTCAAATAGGCAAGAAAGGAATAGTCCAGATTCAACACATAGGTTTTAACGAAGCAAATCGGTAAATCAAAAATTCCAAACAACCCTGATTTAAGGAGAAAAAATACAGTCTTACCATGAATAGTCAGAATGAACATAGACATATAGAATCAGTAGAAAAGTTGAATCAAGAAACATAGTAGAGGCATAATGGATAAGAAAATCACGAGACATCTAAATGGCTAAAGAAAAATCACAAGAACCAAGGCAAGAACAAAGTCAGTACACAAGTACTCAGAAACCAAACAAAGAATGTCGAAAAATTAGGGCGATTAGTATAAACAGGTTAAGGTTAGAGCAAACCTAACGAAATCGGTTAAAACATATAGTAAACAGAAGATTAAACACTCAAAATTATCAAATGTTTTGAAAAAAGAAATTTCCGGAAACCCTAGTTTAGAGAAAAATGAAAAATCAATCGAAAATCAGACGATTCTTGTAAAGAATCAAAAGGTTCTTGCAAAACTCATATGAAATAGGTCGAAACCATTTCAGATCTATCCAGATCTAAGAAGTTTAGAAGGAAAAAATTAGGGTTTCGAGAAGAGCAACACAGAGGTGAAGAAGCAAGCTTAGAAACCCATAGATATAGGAAGATCTTACTCGGAATCAAACCGGAACAGCCTGAAACAGGCGACAAAAGGCCCTAGATGCAAGCAAACTAACCCAGGTCCCTCGAGGACCTTAGAGATGGCAATACCAACGTACGATAGGCCATTAGAGGCCTGGTGGTGGTAGGGAAACACCATGAAGGGCAGCAGATGACCGCCGATGTGGGTGAATTAGGGTTAGGGCTTGAGAGCTTTTGGAGAGGAAGGGATTTCAGTGCGGCGGTTGGTGAGAAATGAG